CCATGGAGCAGAGCTTTCTGAAGTGCGCCGAGCAGCTCGGGGCGGAGCTCAAGGTCGGGCCTGCGCCCAGAGGACATCAGGAGCGGCTCCTACAGATGGCGATGGACCAGATGATGTGACGGCCTCAGCGAGTGCGACGAGACCAGTGGGTGCGACGGCCTCCGCGTCAGGACGCTCGAGGGGCGCGGTGACGGTCGCAGTGTCAGACAGTGTGGCGCACGTCACTGCCGAGCGTGGTCGGTCGACAGTCAGAGATGGTCGGGGCGAGGAGCGCCCAGTGAATGATCCTTTCCTGCCATTGTTCCCCCCTCCTCCTCCTGAAGTGACCTCGCCCCCCCCCCTTCGCAGAGCAGATGTACAGCACACGATTTGCACGCGCACGCAACGTAGCAAGAGCACACAGCAGCAGTAGATATCGTATCGCTCTCGAAACTTAGCCTCACCGAGAGATTTAAACTCCTGGAGTCTCACCGCAAATGGTAGAGCGAAGACAATTCGGGGCTCCCAGGGGAGGGCGCACCTTTCTCCGATCTGTCTGGCGCGCACTGCAGGTCGTACATATCGATTTTTCTCCCGAGATGTGTTGCAGTTGATCCTTCGACTCGAGGCCCGATGCAGCGACCGACCGACCGACCTCCTCCTCCTCCGTCCTCGCTCTCGCTCTTCTCCTCCTCCTCCTCCCCTCCTCCTCTCCTCCTCGTTCCTCCTCCTCCTTCTCCTCCTCCTCCTTCCTCCTCCTCCTTCCTCCCCTCTTCCTCCTCCTCCTCCTCTTCCTCCTTTGTTTCCTCCTCCTCCTCCTCCTCCTCGTCCTCCTCCTCTGGGCGCGCCGCCGGGCCGTCGGATCCTCGGCCCCGTTCTCGCGGGCCCGCCCCGCGGCCCTCCTTTTTGGGGGGGCGAGGCGCGCTGCCGGTGCCACCCGGTGAAGGACGTGGCCATCACCTTCCAGGAGCGGCCTGGCCCAGCCCAGGGGAGGAGGAGGGGGAGGAGGAGGAGGAGGAGGAGGAGGAGGAGGAGGAGGAGGAGGAG